CCTATGAGGAGAAGAGAGGAATAATGAATTTGTAGATAGATAGCAGAGAGGAGACAGGCAGAAACACAGGATAGCTTTGGGAGGACCTGGATCAAAATCCACCGGCCCCTTCTGTCTCTTCAAAAGGGCTTTTTATAACAATGCCAAGGGGCGGGGCAAAAGACCTCCCCCTTGCTAGATCAAAGCACACCACCACACAGCCCATGTGCAGACCCTTCCACACACCTAGTAACCACGCACGTGGTCAAATCAGCCCCTTATGCAGCCCGGCTGGGTAAAGCAAGCTCAGATTTTTTTCTCACTAGGAAACCTCTGTGGGTCTCCACAGTGGTGCTAGCCTGTCTGGACTAAACAGTGTGAACCAAACTCTCCTAGCAACCTCCAGGCACCTAGAGTCCAGGGCCTTGCTGGGGAGCAGCTCAGAAGGACACTGACAAAATGCTGTATCTATGTCAACTCAAATGAGAATACGCCCCCTGACCAGCTCTCAATTTGTGCATTTATGCTACAAATACACTAATGTGTACAAAATGGCAGTGCCTCAAGATGACTCATTTCATGCTTGTGTAAGATGGGAAACAACCTAAATGTTAAATAACAGGGAACAGGTCAAATACACTTTAATTTCACCCATACAATGAAATCCTATATAGCCCCAAACATGACAAAGGATATATTCACATTCTAAATATATGTATGTGTGTGTGCATGGAGTGTATATATTTGTGTACAACATAAATATATTACATATACATACAGATGCATTCAGTTATCCTTATCTGCAGGTAATTGGTTCCTGAATATCCCCATGGGTGCGGCAAAGGCCCATGGAGGCTCAAATCCCATACATAAAAAACGGCTTAGCATTTGTATGTAACCTACACATCCTCCCTGCTTTCCACCATCTCTAGCTTGCCTCGGGTGGCTAACAGGATAGAAATACAGTATGCAGTGGTCTTACCGTATTGTTTAGGAAGTGATGACAAGAAAAACATTTGTATTTGTTCAGTACAGGGACAATTTCTTTGGGTTTTCGAGTATTTTTTGATTCATGGTTGGTTGAATTCACAAATGCAGAACCCACAAACATGGAGGGCTGACTGAATATGATACACTAAAATTTTACATAATATGAAATGTTTTTAATATACATACAGGCTAACACTGTCAGGATAGAAAGTGGCTTTTCAGGAGTATGAATGACTTATACCAATCACCCAAAATGGGACATGAAAATTCTTACATGTATATTTACTACTATATCCAGAAAAATCTTGAATAGAAGACATTGAAAAAAGTAGTAAGGTTGATTGCCTCAGAATGGGGTGCCCTTACTCTGCATTGTGTACATTTACAGTGTTTTAAATTTGTAGCATGTAGATATATAACCTATTCAAACTAACTAAATACCATTTGAATTTTAAACAAACGCATTCAAATTGCTTCTAGAAAGTACAAAGTTTCACAGCACTGAGAGCCTAGAAGGGTACACAGGGGAAGGAGTGGGGCTGAGAAACAGAAGAACAAGATTCAGGAGATGCCAACAGATGATCAGTTTTGAAGGCTACACAATTCTTAATCCAGCTCCAGGAACAATAGTGTTCCTGACAAGCTTGAGCATGTGAACCAAGAGTCTCTCCAAGAACTCCCTACTGGTAGATTAACTGGCTCATGGAGTTCTAGTGTGTGTGTGTGTGTGAGAGAGAGAGAGAGCGGGGTGGGGGTGGGGTGGGGGGTGGGGGGGGGTGTTTATCTAAGTTGTTCTATTACCAATAACGACTCAAGGATCAGATATTAGGGTGAAAACTTAGTAGATCAAAGAAGCAGCAGAGGAGGAACCAGCTGATCTTCTCTCCATACTTCCTGTGCCTCTCTATCGTATCCTGGGTCCTCCAAAATCTCTTTTGTCAATTCTTGTCAACTAGATGCTGGCTCTGCCCTCCTGATCCAAGTTTAACTTTATTAACACAGTCTTGGAGTGTCACAGTGCAATCAAATATCCTGAAACGTGTGTGTGTGTGTGTGTGTGTGTGTGCGTGCGCACTCATGCTACAGTCAGAGTCAGAGGACAATCTCATGAAATCAGCTCTCTCACTCCACCTCCTTGTGAGTTCCAAGGATCAAACTCAGGTCTCCAGGCTTGTATGGCAAGCATCTCTACTCAATGAACCACTGCGATAGCCCAAGCTCACAGGACTCTTGAACGCCTTGCAGGACCTGAGGTTGGCCAGGCTCATCAGAAGCCAGTTCTGCTTGTTGTGCCACCAAGCTCAGGCTTTTCCTAAAGCAGAGACAGTGGGGCAGTGCCTATGGTTCTGCCCTGCAACTTGAAGCACCGTGACAGATGAACCAGCAGGGGTGAGCCGGGACCATCTGAAAACTTCAGAAACTAGATGAGGACCTTGGTGTCTGTAATGGGAAGCAACTAGGCACAAAGGGTAACAAAGCCAGATTCAGGAGATGGCGCTGGCACTATGTGGGGAACCAATTCCAATGGTGGGGTAGAAAGCCACACAGGACCTCCCCAGCCATCTCTAACAAAAGGAACTGTGCTAATGGAACAGGCTTCAGAAAGAACCAGAGGCTGGCTGCTGGGTGCAGCTCTCTAGCTGTAAGGCCAAGGGTAGCTCAAACTCAGTTCTGTGAATCCGGGTAGCCTCGTTTGTAAAATCAGTCAAATGTCTGCCTTAGAGACTTGTTTTCATCGCAGTAAAAGGCTTTCTATACAACAAACTACCACACAGACTGGCCCACAAGAGGTTCTCAGTTACAGGCAGCCCTAAATGGCGAACAAATTGTGTGTGGCAGAAATGTCTCTACAGCAGATATGCCACTGAGGCGCTGCAACTGGCCTGGAAAGAATGAAGATATTCTAAAGGAACAGCCCTCATTTTGACTATCAGTTAAAACAACGGACCCCCAGAAACTGGAATCCCCCCAGGACTCTCATGCTGGGAGGAGAGAAAGCATAAAGCCTGGGTCAGCCAGAGGGGGACATTTTCTCAGGGAAAGAGATTTGCAACTTGTCAGCCCACCTGGCAGGAGGGTGGAGCCAGAACAGTGATGGGTAGACAGCAGCTGGACAGGAACTGCTCAGCCATACATAATTCTGGCCCTTTATCTAAACCTCCACCTCACGTCAAGACCTTGAAAATGGACTTGGAGCGGTCACTAGGTCTCTCTTGTCCCTCTTCCCAATGTTTGAAGAGATCTCCTTTTCTGCTACCAATGTGGGTATTTTAATTGACTTATGGAGGACAGGTGGTTGAACCTGGCTTGCTGGGGCACAGGGTGTGGCCCAAAGTCTGGTAACAGTAGGGCTTTGAAGGAAGTTTCTGGAACTCACAGGAGGATGTTTGTGATTCCACTGATCTCACTTGTCCGGTGCCCTCTCTTTATCAGGCCATGGCATGGACTGCGCCACCAGTCTATACCCTTGCTGGCCATGGAATAAGGAGGACAGTTCACCAGGACTCACTGAAAGGTGGCTCATTTCAACTGCAAGTAAACGTTAATATGTGCAAAGCCCCCAACGGCCAAGGCCAGACTGATAACTGCTTGGGGTTTTCCACTTCCTGTGTTGTGTGTGTGTACAACTTCCTAACCATGACTGTGAAGCCAGTCAAGAGTGGCCTCCAAGGTACAAGCAAGAGGAGCCTCATAGGGCTTCCAGGGAAGCCGTCAACATGTGTGCGTCAACACTTGTAAATTCAGTGCCTCTACATTTTCCATAATCATAGACTACCTCAAACCACTGGCAAACGAACTTAAGAAGGAAAAGATGAAAGCTTGCAGCCCGCCACGGAAGCGCGAAGTCCTGGCTGTCCCTGTCACACAGTAAACTCAGTTAATAGCGCCCCTGATGCTTCATTCTGAAGAGGTAATTCATTCGGTCTTGTCAATATAAAACAAAAACTTATATGGATTCCTTTCTCCAGTGCTGAGAGTTGAAACCTAATGCCTTTGTGCATGCCAGACAGGTGTTCTGCCATAGAGCAACATCCCCAGCTCAGGAGCTTTTTCTCTTTCTTCACCAATTAAGACGCTGACATCCAAAGGTGAGCAACTAACGTCTGAGAATGGCAGAGTGGGGTTGTTTTGGGTATGGAAAAGAGCTGCTGATAGACTTGCTCAAGACATTCCTCTGAGCACAGCAGAGCCCCAGCCTACTTGTAAACACAGCGTCTGGGAATATTCCGGAGGCAAAATACGGAGGTGCCATCGCACGTTTCCAAAGGAAATTGCAGCGTCTGGCCTTTTCCCACACAAAGCATCCTTGCCTCTGAAACCACAATGCCCGTCTCCTAAGAATATAAGGTATATTACTAACTCCCAATTGGAGTAGAAGACTACTCCTGGGAGACTGTGCCCAAAGGTTAAACTACAGTCTCTACTAACCTCTGACACATCTGAGAATGTTCTAATAGACCCGCCCACTCTCACTTCCACCGTCCTTCCTTGCTTGCTTCTAAAGCAGAAAGAGGTCATTCCAGCCAGCTGTCACGTCTCTAATCTCACACTGAACTCACTTACAGTGGAAACAAACGACCCGAATAGGGTGCCACAGATGCTGACAACAGGTACACTGGGGAAAACCCCTGCCACGTGTGCGGCCCTTTATTCAGGGGTTCCGGGCCGCGCGCTCGCCTCTCCTAGACGCGTACGCACCAACACACCAGAGCACTAACACATACAGCTGCGGACCGAGTTTCCTCTCCCGGAACAGCAACCCATCTTCAGATCTCTGCATCTGATCCACCTGGTTCCTATACCTGGAACCCAAGCCTATTCCAGCCTCAGCACTCCGCACGTGGGGATGCGCTTCCAGGTGGTGCCAGGAGCGAAGCGTGGAGGTGGGGAAGGCCACGGACTGGGAATGGGAAAGCTGGAAGTAACATGCATAGGTTTGGAATCCCTGGGGTGCACGCTTCTGCAATTGGAGAGGGCGCGAAGCGAAGACCCAGGCTAAAGAGGAGAGGGCTGGGGGAGGGGTCGCTCACCCAGCGTTTTGACAGCGATCTGCCTGGTGAGCGGCGGCGGCAGGTTGATGCACACCAAGTCTACATCCTGGTGCAGCAGCACCTCGTCGATGCGGCTAGTGTAGAAAGGAACACTCATCTCCTTGGCCAGCTCCTCGGCTTCTTCCTGCGTGCGGCCCCACAGCGCCTTCACCGCGAAGCCCTCATCTTTCAGCAGCGGGATGATGACACGGGCCGTGAGGCTGGTGCCGAACACGCCCACCCCGGGAAGCATGGCTGCTCAGGTCCGCCCGGCTCTGCTTCTACCGGGATCTCCAGTCGAACACCCGCGCGCACGCCTCTCCTGCCAGTCCCGCAGTCCCCGGCTCCCGCAGCCGATCTCGCTGCGCAGCGCCAGCCGCCGAGCCCCGGGCAAGGCGCCCGCGTGCGGCGGCGTGACAGCGCACCGAACCACAGACCCTGTAGGCTCCGGGAGCCTCAGCGCCGTGACCGCTGCAGTGCCCGCCACGCGAGTAGCGTGTCCTTCCTGGAGACAGCGGCGGGGACTCCGCCAGGACGCACGAGGCCCCGAAGTCCCGTGGAGCCCGGGCTCAGGCAGCGGTCCCGCTGTAGCGCCGGTCGGCTCCGTGCGCCCCGCCGAGGCCGCCCCATGGCCGGCTCATCCCCGCAGAATCTCTCTCCCGGCTCGCGCTCCCGCTTCACCACCCTCTCTGGGCTGCGGATCTCCTTTTTCCGCGGTCCTTGGTGCCGAATGAAATAACCCGGAGGCCGACTAAGAATGCGGCTCGTGGTGTGCCAGGCGCCGATCGCGAGCTGCAGCACCGCAGCAGCGGCCACCACCCGGCGCCAGGCTCCTCATTCTGCTGCCATATTCACTCGCTCGCAGCGCGCCTTGGGCGGCCTCGGCCCCGCTCGGGCTCGGGCTCCGGGATCCCGCGGGTACTAGGGCGGAGTTGGCGACTTTGACTGTCAGCGGCCGGGGTTCCTGCACCGCCCTTGCGGTAGCGCCGCGCGCCATTGGCCGGCGAGCGTCGCCCCCGCCCCTGTCTCCGCCGCCCCAGGCTCTCGATGCGCGCAGCGCCCGGCCCCTGGAACCCGGCTTGACTCCTCCCCCGCCCCGCCTGGCTAGCTCGCTGCCCCCGGGTGGCTTCCCTTTCTCTGCGCTCTCCGCCTCCGCCGCCGCCTCCTCCTCCTTGTTGCGCTCCAAGCTCCGCCCAAGCAAGCAAATAAATATATCAAAGCGGGGCGCGCCCTTAGTGGACTAGGACCAGATCCCTTGGAAAAGATTGACGGACGTCGGGACCCCGAAGGACCCCACGAGGTGGGAGCAGCGTGGTCACTGCCTCCTCTCCCGAGTATTTTTCTATGCGGGCACTGTTCTGGGGAAGCTTTCCAGGCACTTAACCCTGGGGTTGTTGGAAACCCATTTCGTTGATGAAGAAAATAAGCTCCGGGAAGGTTGAGGGACTTGCTCAGGTTTACACACATAAACAACAGTCCTGCGATCGGAATGCAGACACCAGCGTCTCAGCTCTGAATCCCTAGAGTTCTGACTCCTAAGTGTGCCCAGTCCAACCCCCCCCCCCCACCACCACCACCACCACCACACACACACACACACACCAAGCCAACTCCATGGCTGCACAAGCTCCGCTGGTCAACTACTCCATGTTTGTGCCCCATGTGGCCCGGGTGACCTCACTCAGAGCGGGGTCTTTGCAGTGACTGTGGAGTCCGGTTTTCCAGAGGCGTGTGTACGTACTTCTGGTTGGCTGCCACTCCTGCCTCCTGCCATCTGCTTCGGTTCCGGCCACTGAGCTTCTCAGTCTTTACTGCATCTGGGGTCTGAGGGATGCTGGGGACCCTCAGACTGAGCTGCATGGAAAGCCCTAACGGTGGTGGTGACCAAATGAGCCTCTGATTTCCCACCATATCCTCAGCACTCATCACACGGCCTAACTAATAGATAGTAGGCGCTCAAATAAATGAGTGGATATTCACCACCTGTCACCTCGTTCCCGATTAGTGCTGGGAGGAAGGAGTCAGTGCTAAAGGGGAAGAGGACCTGCCCTCCAGCTCAGTGTTTCTGGAAAGATCAGGTTACTACTGTCTGTCATGTTCACCCCTGGCCTTCAGCTCTCAGTTGAAGAGGCACGTGGTCTACTTCGACATAAGCGTGGAAAACATGACGCTCTGGAGCGTTTAAAGCAACTTGTAACAAATGGCAATGAGGCGGGGCTGGTGGAGAGAGTCGTACACCAAAAAAAGAAAGAAAAAAAAAAAAAAAGCTTGTGTGTGGCAATGAGAGGAGGCAAAGTTGACCTCAGGACATTAGCAAAAAGGACAAAGTGCTCCGGGACTGGCAACAGCCTGAGCAGAGTCGAGCCAAAGAGCAGACAAGACCTGCTGAGGGCTGGCTGAGAAGTGTTTGTTAAAAATGGGTGTGCCACCTCCTCTGTCAGAGCAAGAACCATGGCAGGAACACCTACTGGACCGGTGCTGGCATCAGAGAGGTGTCAAGCTCACTCAGTGATGGTGTGTGCATCTTGGCTTGAAAGCCAGAGCTGGGAACCGACTCTTGGCTCTGCCGTTTGCTAGCTGTGGGACCAGGGACAAATACCTTCTCTATGCCCGTCTTTCTCTGTGTCCGTCTGCAAAGTGGGGACAGCCATTAACACTGTGGAGGACCATGTAATTTGACATTCATAAAGTCCTAAGAAGGATACTCCCCAGAAATGCTCTATGTAATATATATGTCCTCTATTTTGATATTTATTTCTATTTATTACATATGTCCTATTTAAAAGTATTAGCCTGTGTATATAACCTGTGTGGATTCTGTTATAATTTTGTTGTTGTTTGGGGGTTTTTGTTGGTTGGTTGGTTTGGTTTTCTTTAATGTTGTTATATGTACGTATGGGGGTATATACCACTTCAGCGCATATACCCTTGGAGGTCAGAAGAGGGCTTTGGAGCCCCTGGAGCTGGAGGTGACAGATGGTTGTGAGTCATCCTATGTGAGTATCAGGGACAGAACTCAAGTCCTCTGGAAGGACAGCGAGCACTTTCTGTTTTTTATTTGTTTGTTTGTTTTGTTTTTCAAGATAGGGTTTCTCTGTGTAGCTTTGCGCCTTTCCTGGAACTCACTCTGTAGACTAGGCTGGCCTCAAACTCACAGAGATCCACCTGGCTCTGCCTCCCAAGTGCTGGGATTAAAGGCGTGGGCCACCACCGTCCGGGGAACAGTGAACACTTTCATTTTCATTTGCTGAGCCATCTTTCCCACCCCTGGCTTGGTTTGTTTGGGTTTTTTTTTTTTTTTTTTTTTTTTGAGATGGGGTCTCATGTAGTCCAGGCTGGCATCCAACTCACTCTCTTGGGGAGGATGACCTTGATTGAACTTCTCATCCTCCTGCCTCCGTTTCCCAAGCCCGTACCACAGGTGTGTACCCATATACCTTCTCGGTCCCCTGTGACATCAGTCCCCGTTATCCACAAAGGAGATAAGAGGGACTTTTGTTGATGTCTTTCAAAGAAGGCTAGGGCTGGCACGATGGCTCGGTGGCTAAGGGTGCATGCCACTAAGTCTGATGACTTAACGTCAATCCCTGGAACTCCTCCCATTGTAGAAGGAGAGAACTGACCTCCATGTGTGTGCTATAAGCATGTGTGTGCGCACATATACACACAATAATTAATAAAATTTATTAATGAAAAAAAGAAATGTAGCCAGGCGTGGTGGTAGCACATACCTTTAATTCCAGCACTCAGGAGACAGACAGATCTCTGAGTTCCAGGCCAGCCTGGTCTACCGTGTGAGTTCCAGGACAGCCAGGGCTACACAGAGAAACTCTGTCTCGAAAAATCAAAATAATAATAATGATAACAATTAATAATAAATGAATAAAATTTGAAAGTGTTGTATAGAACTATCTCCTGCGCCTTACTTGCCTCCAGGAGTTTGGCTGGGCTTGCTAGAGAAAGATCAGCATGGCTGGGCTTGTTGACTATTGATGTTTCCTCACAGAAAGAGTGGGTTCGGGTGGGAGGGGTGCATAGGGCCCTCAGCTAAGTATTCAGCCATCTCTGTTGGATATAATTCTACCCTAATTGAATGTAGCCTGGGGGGTCTTTGGGAAGGACTAGAGAACATGTAGGTGGGAACCGCATAGAAGAGAGACCCCTGTCTATACAGCCATCAGGGAATCATCATCCATGCTGGCACAGGCTGTCCAATATGGCCGCTTTAAGGTCACCCATGCTGCTTCTGGGAACCCCTTGCCCATTGTTCTGTAAATCAGCCTAATAAACTCATTGGTTCCCACCTTGGTTTGTCACTGGGACCTTAGGAGGAGGGGTAGACCGTGTTTTAATCTCCCCCAGGGAAGGAGTTTTAGCAGCAAGAAGACCATTTCACCCTGCCCTGGCAGAGCATTCAAGTCGGGGTTATCAGTAGCTGGACACTGTCCTTGCTGGTCTGCCTGCTTTCACTCCGTAGTCTCCGCTCAAACAGCCAGAGTGACCTTTTCAAAGGTGAGTCACATCGTGTCCCACCAAAGTCCACACCTACAATGGATTCCAGTCACACTTAAATCCCAAAGTCCTTAGGGTACCAGAACAGCCCTACCTAATCTAACTTGACCTCCCTCTGATCTTACACAGCTAGTACTTACCACTTCCGGCTACAGACTCTATCTATTCCAGCAGGTTGACCTCCTTGCTGTGCACCCTGAAGGCTGAGCTTGCTCTTGTCTCGGGGCCTTTACACTGGCTGCTCCCCACCCCACCCCCCCGCCCGCCTGCCTGCCCGCCACACACACACACACACACACACACACACACACACACACACACACACACACACACGCATGCAAGCTTACTGCTCACTCTACTCAGGTTTGTGCTCAGATGTCCCCACCTTAGATCAGGCCTTGCCTGACCACCTCACCTGAAATGACATTCTTGTCACATTTCATCCTTTATCACTGTTTCCCACTATGGTATCTGTTTATCATCCCTTGCCTAACAGATTACAGACTCACTGAGATCAGAAGTACACATGTCTCCTTCACTTCTGAATACCCAGTACCTGCCGACATTCAATATACAAAGTGTGAGAAGTGAGGGTTTGATTAAGTCATCAGGGTAGAGTTCTGTGATTGGATTCTGGAGAATTCATAGAAGGAGAGAAGCCAGAGGAGAAAGAAATGTGTGTTGTCTGTCCCTTTCCAATGATGCCTGGTACCACTCTTGGACACTGCTAGAAGGCCAGCATCCCTAGATGTGGCCCTCACCCTTGGACCAAACCCTGAACCAAGACAAACTTCTTTTCTTTATATTTACCTGTTAGGTATCATTGTGTTGTTAGCAAGAGAATACTATTGCTGAGGATGTATAAAGTCTTTAGAACTAAGCCAAGCAAGTGCACAGGAGTGATTTGGGCACTGGAAATCCAGGCCACCTCTCCCTCGGGTGCTAACATTAGGAGACTTTTGGTTTAGGACGTGAGTTGAGGCAACATGGGGCTGCAGGGGGTCATGGGGGTGGGAGTAGAAAAGGCCTTTGAAGTTGAAAATGGAAGTCTGCAGACCTGTGCAGAGGGAAAGGAGAACTGGACCCGGGTTCCAGGAGGCGTGCTAGAGTTAGAAGGGAGAATTTTCTAGACTGATGGAGGTTATACTCAATGTGGAAGAGCCTATGGAGCTTGGATATGACCTGGAATTGCTGGAAGATTTAAACCACGTCTTTTAGCCTCCGTTATGGGTAGCTTGTGAGGGGCCTGAGACACAGCCCTGATAGAGACCCCTGCAGTCACCCAGGACTGAAGAGAAGAAAGGACTGGCCAGGGATGGACGTGCTCAGCAGGTAAAAAGAGGTTAGGTGGCTTCTCAGAACTGGATGTCATCTGGGCGTGCACTTGTGTCCTACTGGTTTGGTAGGTCTTGCTTCATCTGTTCTGAGTGTGATTCTGAGTATGCCTCTGCCGCAGGCTGTGAATGGACCAAATGTCAAAGCATAGACAATGTTAGCACACAGGCAGGTTTTCAAATTATCTGGGTGATATTCTTTACTGTTCTTCTGTGAAAGCCTGGCCCTGGATTCTACCGAATACAGCCTGACATTTTAAAACAGTGCTGACAGGGACTGGAGAGGTGTCTCCAGGGTAAAGAGCACGGACATGTAGAGGACCCGAGTTTGGTTCCCGCTGACCATATCAGGGGGCCTCACAAGCACCTTTTACTCCAACTCCAGGGGATCCAATGCCCTCTTGTGGACTCAGTGGCTCTTTGCACATGCTTGGGCACATGCGTGCACACACACACAGGCATGCATGAGGTGTGTGTGTCGAATGTCCTCCCAAAGTTCCATGTGCTTAAGGCTTGTTCCCAGAGTGGCACTGAGGGGAAGCACTGAGATCTTTAGGAGTTGAGGCCTAGTGGGGGTTCCTTAAGTCACTGGGGGCATGCCCTTAGAGGGAAGAAAAGAACCCTGGCCTCTCCCCCTCTCTTTTTGCTCCTTGGTCATGAGATGGCCATGTTTGCGCCTGCCTTTTTCACCTGGCACTCCACCA